AATGTTGCAACTATGTTGCAACATATGTTATAACAGTGGTATGTTGCAACATATTCATAAAGGCTACCATCTTTAATAATAATGTCTTTAGGATGAATTTAATAGCAAAATTTAAAGTGTTACAAAAAGTTCATAATGAAATTAGCAAAATTTCAAAATTATCTTAGTATTGTCTTATTAATTAATTCAACTCAAGATTTAAAATTTTATTGAATAGAAATGTTTGCTTTAGCATAATATTTTTGATTAACATTTATTCAAAATTAAATTTCTTATCTCATTAAGGTAGTTTTAATAACTTAGTTCTTATATGAAATATAAAAATTTAAGATTACTTAAAAATTAAAAATTTGTAATTTTAATAAAAAATTTTATGATAATCTTTTTAGAATTTACTTTTAACTATATTAGTTAAAATTGAGAATGCTTTTTTAAATCTTTTCAAAATTCTATAATTAGTTTTAGCGAAATTTTAATAAATATTTAATATAGTATAGTATCTTATAGTTTTCTTAGTTTTTGTGCAAATGCAGTGCAATGGAACAAAAATTACGTCAACCAGGTGTTTGAAATAGTTAATACTGGAAAGTTATGGCGATTTATCCGTTAAGCTGGACATTGGTTCCTGAAAAATATATTTACGATTAATTATATGGGTAACATGGAAGTTGAAAAGGAAGAGTTTAATATATTGTTCAAATATTACAAGCTCAAGTTAAGGTATTTGGTGAATAGCAATGCATTTTAAACGTGGTCTAGGTAACAATTTATGAAAGAAATTTGTTTGTTATGTACTTACATTCTACTTTTAATTCTTTTTCAGATAAGGGAAAGTATGAGTTTATTAGAAATTTATGGAGCTTTATAGAAAACTGCCAAAAAAACTTTATTTTTTTCCAAAATATTTCTATTGATTTGGTACATAATAATTGAACATTGAAGTTTGATAAAAAACATTTCTTACGCAGAAAAAAAAATTTATGCTGTGTCACTTTGACTCATGATGTTTGCTGCGATTGGTTATTATTTATTTATTAAGCAAATAATATTATCCGGTAGGTTCGTATTGTAATATAATGATTATTACTATTTGTGTATATATGAAACAATTCAATTTGTTAAATTAGAAAATTCTTTTTTTTTTAAAGGAATCGCTGTATAAACGTCCATTTTGCCATCCCTTTTATCCTAAATTGGGTACGTGTTTTAAAATGTGATGGTCGTGTGAATAAAAATACGACCTTAATAATTTACAACGTAAAAATTACTATTAAAATTCATAATTTCACTAAAGCTAATATCAAAATATTGGGTTGATAGAAGCGGTTAAAAGAAAATACAATTTGTAAAGGTGGCTTAATGAATAATTTTAACACGATTTTCCTAATAATAGTTATTCGGCGGCGAATTAACTAGATGTTGCTCATAAATAAAAAATTAAGGTAAAGTAAGTATCATGATAGATTTAGAACGTAATATGATGTAAATTTTTTTTCCCAAAATAATTGGACGCATGCATGCGCGATGTGTGACTACGCCAATTCCTTCATCGATCATTAAAATTCACCTTAAAATAAAAAATAAATATAGGATAAGAATTCCATCATTTTTTTTTTTAAAAAAATTTTAGTTTTGTTATTATAAAGATGTGGGAATTTATTTATATTTACTAATAAACAAAGAGATTTTTATATTGATCGAAATTTAAATCATGCATATTTAGTTAGTCTTAAAGATCCCTCATTCCGTGATATGCGTTCAATTTTAGATACACCAATACAAAAAAAGTTTAATTTCCAGATATAAAGGATGGCTAGATTTGTTAATTATATTTATCTAATTAAAATTTTTAGCCATTTAACCTAGAATTTGAATACCCACCCCCTTAAATGACTGATAAGCCAATAAAGAAGCCTTTTATTTAACCCTTTTCTATGATTTCCATATGATAATCATATGTGTGTAAATTGCTCACAAATGATCTTTTTTTTAGTAATGCACCCAATATTTTATTATAAATATATACATACAAATATAAAACAATGCCTATTAGTATTAAATTTCGGATCATTTAAATTTAAGGATGATAACGAAAGCGGTCGCTAACAAAATATTTCTCATGGTGTTGGTTTTAATGGTATCAATAAGCATTTTACTATATAGCACACAAAGGTTTACAAATAAGAAGACTTTATACTTTGATAGAATCTACGTAATAAATATCGAACGCCGTATTGATAGAAGGGAACGAATGACAAAAATTTTAAACCATCTTAACCTTGATTATAAGTTTGTCTCTGCTATTGACTCCAACTCGAGCGATGTAAATGCTTACTACAAGCAAATGAATGGATCTTTGACTAAAGGTGCAATAGCCTGTTGGTTAAGTCATTTGAAAGTATATCAATCGATCTTTGATGATCGGTTACAAAATGCCATTATATTAGAAGACGACATTGACATGGAGTTGGATATTGAAAAACAACTGGGAAATATAGTACAATATCTTCCTAAATCCTGGGAGATGCTTTATATTGGCCATTGTAGCGTAGAAAATTTGCGAGTTCCATACAAACATCCAAATCTATACGTTTCCACGCGACCATCTTGCACACATGCGTACGCTATCTCGTTTATCGGTGCTTGGCTACTTTTAAATGAACTTTCCAGTATCAAAGAACCAATAGATGTGGAATTAGTACAACTTATAGAACCTGGGAGGATTAATTCCTTTAGCATTGAGCCACCACTCGCTGCTCAATGGAGAGATGGAAATCCGTCGGACGTGAGCGCTAAAGATACGGAGTATGTTCCATATTATCTCAAAAAGTCAACTTTAAGATATATAAAAATCGTTGAATAACATTCAATGTAACGATACCAACGTTTTATATTTTTAATTTAAAAATTTTTAATAAATGTATATATTAAGAGAATTTATTTCATCAATAATTGTATTCCTTAAAATAGTATCCTAGTACATAATACGCATCTTCTTTGAATAAAGTACATACGAATATTATATTAAAAACGGTATATAATATTAAAATGTAGTTAAACAACGATCTCTTTTATATTTTTCTCATTATAACGCTTGAAACTAACGATGCCTTGCCCATTTATGGGTTTCGAAACTTCGCAAGCGAAACCTTTCGAACTTGTCCTTCAATGTGTTTTTAAATATAACGATAAGGGTGAAAGTCAAAGTAATCAAAAATGCGTTTAAACTTAATCAATTAAATAAATAATTTTACATACCTTTATTAGTTTTTATCACTTTTGCGGATTTCTTAAATTTTTTTTTAAAATCATAAGCCAATATAATAGTGTCTAATTTATTGATCCAATTTGACATTACTTGTATTATAATGAATTAAAAGTTCGACCTAGGATGTTTCGATCAAATCAGTTATCTTTCAAGTATAATTAAGATTAACGTTAATTTTTAGTTATATTATTGAACCCTTCTAGTAAGAAACAGTACTACAATAATTTATGAAATCAAAAACCTTTTTTGAAGATCAAATTAATTATATATACGTCACAGTTTCGCGGAGCTGTGCTTTAAAAATGGGTTACGTGAACCTTTCAACAAAAAATGAGATATTTGATTCATATTATAATATATTAAACTTTTTAGAGGTAGGTCCGGCAAAATGCTTAAATTTCTGTGTAATGTCAATCAAACATCTAAAATTAGATTTTTTATCAATGATCGACAAATGATCGACATATGGGGAAAAGGAGGTTTTGAGAAAATCGCATTTAAAGTCCCGTGATCAATTTTGCCGATTATCTCAAAAAAATTATGATTATTCAAAAAACGGACTTTATAACCTAAAAAGAAATTTCGCAAGTAGTTAATCGAGAACATTGCCTTTCCTTTGATTATTTATTTTTATTTAATTCGTAAAAATTTTATATAATTTATTTATACACAATAAATTACATAAAGGCAAAAAAAAGGTTAAATTTACGCCCTTTTTTATTAGTATGTTTATATGGAAAAATGAAAATCCCGAAAGGTTGGGCACATGATTATCACAAAATCTCAAAACTTGGCCACCTTTTGCTGTGCTGTGATGGTTCCCATATATAAAATATGGTTTTAATAGCAAAATCTCAAGTGTTACGAATTTGACAAGGCGGATTTAATAGCAAAATTTATAGTTTCATGATTTTTAATTTGTAAAAATAATTATTATAATAAAATGTTATATATATAAAATTAAACACTTTTAATAGCTCAGCTCCATATTTTCATCTCGTCCTAAGAACTTTAATATAGAGGTTGGAACCGGTTTGATTTCCGAAAACGGTTTTAAATTTTTAAAAAAAAATCCGAAGCGGTTTATTCGTTGAAATCAATATATGGTCATCTTTAATAACTATTCTTTTTTGCATCATCATTATATAATTTTCTAACAAATTTCCCGGCTTCAGCTTTGGTAATCAAAAGTCGGATGTTTCCATTCAGTATTTCATAATAACCGTTTATTTCAACCGGTTGCAATCGGTTAAAATCCACAATTTTGACTGATTTTCGTAATTCTATAAAAAAATTTTTTTTTTTTCACTTGTACAACTTTTGATTGTCATGATTGGTTAACATTCTGTACAATATCTCACGGCCCCTATCCTTTAAATGGTAAGATAATAAACCGACTTTCGCTTCGCTCCCGGTCTAATAAAATTATAATTTTTTTATATTCAATTTTATTATGATATTTTTTTAAATTTTATAATATTAAAATTTAAGTTATAACCTTTTAAATTTTAAAAAAACTAGATTATAACTTTAATAAAATTCTATTGCTGACTCTGACAAGCCGAATTGTATTATAACCCAAAATCGAGTTCATAAGTTTAATGACTAAAAGAATCAGTCAAAGGGGATGTGACACAGTTGAATCCATTGCAAAACATTAATATTGCATAAATATAAATAATAAATCCAATAGTTTTTTTTCTCAACACATTAACAACATGGAAAGAAATGACCAGGTGAAATTTATTCTGTCATTTTGAGCATTTATCTTTCTAATACTTTGCAAATTTGCTAATATATAAATTGACCATATAAATTTTTAGAATGAAAGTTCTCCTAGTAAAAATACAATTGAGCTCGACGATTTAGAAAACACTCCTAAAAATCAATCTGGACTTACTAATTTAGAGGAAAAAATTCAAGATTTTATAAAAAATTTAACTCTACCGAAAAATTTATACAACTTAAAGCTAATTTTTGAAGATTCGCAAAATGAATTTTCACCTCAAATCTTAATAAATTCATTAATGGCTTTATCAAACACCACACAATTCAATTTTTATTCAACAGAAAGTGTAGCCAGGTTAGAATTACATATACGTACATTGATAATCGCTTTAGAAAGGATATGTTTTTCACCAATACGTCTAAGTAGAGAACTTCGTGAAAGTGTATATAATTCATTGGTAAAATTTGCAGAAATACATCGAAAGACAACGCAAGTGGTAGAAGATGGATTTGAAAATAATTTTAAGCCTAAATCAAATCAATTTTCTCAACAAAAATATTTGGAACAAAATGAAAGCACAGTTAGAAAAAGAAATTATAATATTGATTTTTTGTTAATTCATTTACGTGATACATTACATAGTTTACGTGATGATGAAACTTGGTTCCAAGAATTAATACGAAGAGTAAAAGGCATACTTAAAGCTGCTATAGGTGTAGCTCCAGGAATTCTCTCAAAGGTTGCATCCGGAGTTCCTTGTCCTAATGATACTAGTTCGATATCATCAATGATTACTCAATTACGCGAAGGCTTATGCTTCAAATATCCAATTGCACGTTATTATTTTGATTGGAGGACTTTGTTGATAATTCAACATAATATTGATAAGATAATTAGTAAAAAATTTGGAGAAAAGGTTATAATGGAATATCTTTGGAGTTATTTAGAGGAAGAACAGAATGGTGTTGATAAAACTATTTTTTACTCTCAAATAAAATTTGATGAATTATCAAATAAAATCTTTAAGGCATTTAGTAATACTGGAACTTTCTTAAATGATCTTGCTGGAAATGAACCTCTTGCTTTACCACATACTTTATGATTCGGAATATTGGATCTTGCACATGATCTTATCAAAAAATCTAATCGGAAGGCTACGCATGGGCTTTGCTATTATCTAGCAATTAAATCATTTCATGAGGCACCTAGTAGTTTCATTCAATTTAAAGCAATTGAGATTTTGATTCATTTATACAATATTAATAAGGAAATATTTTCAATTATAAAAATTGATTTTGATCAATATTCTCAAAATCTAAATGAAAATTCTTTAACTTATACTTTAGAACGATTTCAAAGCTTATTAAATTTTGCTAAAGACAAATTCATTGAAGATCTTAAAATAATAAATTATGATATTGGGAAAGGAAATGGAAAGTTAAATAGTTCAGATAAAAATGTAAGAAAAGAGCAAATATCAGACTCTTGTAAAGTTTTAGATGTTATTGCAGATGAGATGACTTGTCCAATTGGATACGAACCAACAAATCAAATATGTGTTTTAAAATGTCAACATATATTGTCATTGTGTAATTTCAAAAAGTTGAAGCAAAGTAAATGTCCTAAATGTCGAGAAATTATTAATGATAACGATGTAAGATATTTATCACTAAATGCTATTTATAGGAACTTATATCCACATTTTCATGAAGCTGGATATAGTTTGACATCAATTGGAACAGAAAATTTAGAGACTCATGATAATGATTCTAGTGATTCTGATGATGTTATATTAGCTAAAAAAGCGAATATTAACAAATTATTTAAATTTAATTCAAACAAATCATTGCGATCAGTATTTCAAATTAGACTATCAAAAAAACAACATCCAGCATATCAAAATATAATAAAAGAGCTAACCGAAAAAAATTATGAAAAAGCTGAATATTGGTGTAAAGAATTTTTAAAAGATTTTCCAAAAAGTTATTCTATAAGATGCATTTTGGCATATATTTATAGAATTCTCAATAATTATGAACAAGCATATTCTTATATAAATGAAGCTATTAATTTAAAAGAAAGAAATTCTATTGCTTTGTGCATTCGTGGAGAAATACATTACAGACAAAAAAATTATTATGATGTAATAAATGACTTAAATTCTTTAATTAAAATTGATAAAACAAAAATAAAGAATTTAAATATTATACTCGGTAACAGTCGCATTTTCCAAGAAGGAAAAGAAGGAAAATATCATGTAAAAGATTATTTATCTAATTATGATTATGCTTTGAAAAGTTTTACAATTGCATTACAGCATGATCCACATAATTATATATGCCTTAAGCATTGTGCATTTATCTATGAAGAGAAAAAAGACTTTTTGAATGCTTTAGAAATGTTGAGTAGATTATTGGAAATTAACTATAAGGATTCTATAATTTTATGCTATTATGGTGAAATTCTTGTAAAATTAGGCAGATATGATCACGCTATAGTATATTTTACAGACGCAATTAAAATCGACCCCGAAAATGGTTATATTTTATATAAGAAGAGCTTCATGAATCTTTTTATTGAAAAGGATGATGAAGCTTTATCACAACTACATATGGCTTTGCAATTCGATCCATCAGATTATTACAGAGGGTTAAATTTGGATAAAATGAATATTGATTACATTCGAATACTCACAAACGATTATATCATCCGAATGATTAATGATAATCTCGATATATGTAAATCATCACTTTTTAATCATGCATTGAAAAAAAGGATTATGATAAAGCATTATTATATTTCAATGAGTTATGGGAAATGTCTAAAGAAAATATCTTTATAATCTATGTACTTCGACATTATGACAAGTTTTGGATATTTTTATATAATCATGATGTAGCTAAAACTAATACCACCATTTTCACTATTTTCGAGTATAGCGCGTTCAAAGATTTCCTATTATTTAAAGTATTTAAAGGTAAATTTAAATTTACCTTGTTTAATTGTAATAGCGATTTCTAATACATTTTTATAGCAAAAAGGATTTGTTTTTTATCAAACTTTAAACGTTCAAGAAATTCAGACAACAGGTAGATAAACTTTGTATTAAGATAATAATATGATTAAAGTCATGTTCGGATCATATATCTCGTAATTTGATTTTAATAACATATCGTCAATATAAACTTTAATAATAATATTTTATAATAGTTTATCGGGATATATATTGAATAGCAAGGATATAGAGACATTTAATTTTCCTAAAATTCTAAATACTACGTTGTCTGGAGATTGTGTTTCAACAAAATATTCGAACCTTGTTTTGTGAATTTTAGCATAGTTACAGGAAATGAGGTAATTAATGTATTACAAATTCTTGAAATACAATATTTACTATACTGACTTTTAACTTTTATATAAGGCAAATGGAAAATATTTCGATAATATGCATACTCTAGAATACGAAAATTTGAAGAAACTTGTTGGATTAGGTTGGATTGAATATACGCTTCCATTTGTAATAGAAAATGACACTTCTATAGATTATTTTGAACCATCAATTGAAATTAATAATTCTTCTAATGATATTGTAAGTATATATGCCTAGTATTATTGCTTTGTATCGAATTATCTACTAACAAACTTTACAGTTAGTAGATTATTTCCGATTTACCAAATTTAAAAGAGAAACTATTCGTTTATCACATATGGTCGACTCCTTGCCAAAATATGATTCAGAACTATCCATCCCCAAAGTATTTAATGATAAATACTTTTCAGAAGAAGTGGAAAATTTGATTGAATTAAAAGACCTTATAACTTAAAATAATTGGTGCTGTCTAAATTGAATATCAAAAATAAAAAAGATTTCATAGAACGATTTTATGTGAAATTCGTTATTCGAGTTACTTTTAAACTTGGATACGATTAATAATAATTATAATTTTTTTTTTGTTGATCACTTCAACTGCGGCTTCACGTGGTTACGCGTCTTGCATGATGATTTTTTTTAAAAAATTAGAGGCTTAATTTCTACTATCCAATATTCCATCGGATCATTTTAAATAACAAGTTATATGAAAATTTATCATTTGCATAAAATATAATTGAATTAATTACATTTTTTTTTAGAATAATTCTATAATTTTCTGGTAGTTCGATATAAATAAATATATTAATTTTCTATGTTATGGTTAAATAATATATTTTGAATAAGCTGATTAGATATTGTTAAGCATCCTTTGTTAATGTAATGCATTTCGCTTGATTCTTTGACTGATTTGTTTTGACAGCTGGCTTTTTCTAGTTACGAGTGCATTATACGTTTTTACATAAAATTATGAATCACAAATATATGCTGCCGTTAAGTAATGTCTCGATTTAAGTTAATTCAAAAATTAAAAGAGTCTAATATTGCATGTATTAGTAAACTAGCGAATGGTATGGTTGGCTTAATTAATTATATAAACAACAAAAGTCTGCATGTTGCATATAAATAAAGATTGGATGTGGGTGTAATGCAGGACAACTTGGCCAGCGTTATAAAGTTTGCACAAATTGAACGAAAGTTTTGGGCCGCGGTGAAATCGGTGGTTCTAATTTCAATTTTAACTCCGTAACTAATTTTTGGTATACATGGCCATTGTTTACTTCATAAATATTGAAAAATGGGACGTTCGGTATTCGAATAATTGTGCTAATAACCACACATAATGCATCAGTGCATGCAAAGTTAATTAGAAGCATGCAAGCATTACATAACATTTGTATTTGATAATGTAATTCACAGCAGCATAACTTACTTTTTTATTTTTTTTTTATTTTAGTTACCATTGGATTGATATTCTAGGACGTTATTTTAAAATTTAGTTTGACATATAATATGTGAATACCATTTAGATTATCATGTCCTACCATTTTACTCCGAGCGAAAGACTTTAAGAGTTAGGATGTATGTTGTAGTATATTATAAGTATTTGTACATGCATTTGTTTCAGTTCATTTTTATTAAATGAACCACGAGGAATTGAGAGGTAGCACGAATATTGACATTGACAAGTTATCTCGAAAACATTTAATCATTGTTATGTCATTATCATTATCATAATCATTTAGATTTTTATTTGTTTTGTGGATACAGATGGAAATTTAAAATTAGGTTCTAGAATTATTGATAAGAAATACCGAGACAAAACTCTATTATATTTGTTTACTTGTTGGTATGTAATTTGTTAAAAATTTAATTCGGTACTTTTTCATTGGTAGGTTAATTCATGTATTTCCGCCTCAAAAATATTAAAAGATAACGGAGATTTTTAAAAAAAATTTTTTTTTCTTTAAATTATCATTCGATGAATTATAAATTGTTTATTGATCATATTCGCACTACATTAATAGGTAAAAACAATCAGGCATAAACAAAAAGCAAACAAAGAAAAAATAAATTATTTTATTTTATTTTATTTTATTTTTTTCCTACGCAACGCATTTAATTCGTAAAGGGAAGGTCATTATTAATTAACTTATTTTTGTTTAATCACTGTTTCAAGTTTTTTGGGGGGTTAAAGTTATAACCTACAGGAACTTGTTGTTATTACGAGTCGAGTAATTTTTTAACTTAAAGTTTTTCTTTTATTATTTATTTTATTATGATTTGATCATTCATCTTGCATAAATTTAAGCGATGGTAATTGGATTTCGTGTTTTTGCGAAATTTTTTTTTTTTTTTTTTGTTTCAGAAAAGGTATCTGAACCTGTTATAGAAGGATGCATGAAATAGGAAGTTCATTTTATTATAGTTATTCTTTTTTCGGATAATTCGGATCAATGCGCATTTTTAATACGTTTTACTGTCGATTTCTCCCGCCAATTTTTTTTTTTTTTTTTTTAAGAAAAAAAAGAGATTTAATTGCAGATCAACTTCTCGATGATGACCTAACTTGAATCACATTAGGGAATTACTATTTTTAAATTTGTATGTACATAAAATACATAAATAACAAATTCGAGGGGGCTTTGAAATGTTTTTTTTTTTTGAAAACAGCAATTCATTGTGATCTCATTGTGCGGTCAAATTCGTTCAAATAAAGAAAAAAGAATGATAGGAAAAAAAGGAAAAAAAAAGAATGATAAAAACACAAAGAATAAAATGTGGAATGTGGCTAAAAAACGCATCAACAATTCAATATTATGATAATACAATCGGTCGAGTCTCATATTTAATATTATGAGTTGATTCATTCATTCGTATTTTTATCTATTTTTTTCTATCAAATAAAAAATAAAATAATAATAATAAAAAGACGATAACACGGATGTGCAATTAATGGAAAAAATGTTAATCTTAAACGCGTATCGTTTGTGTTACACGTGTAAAAACCAGATACAATAGAAACAATGGCGATATTCATTACTAACTCAGCTAAATCGTCGGGGCTTTTTTTCGGATTAATCGGACGAAATTATTTAAAGTAAATGTGTATGAAAATAGAGATCAAAGACAATGTCATTAAAATTTAAACAGATTCCTAGATGTAACGTTTTACAAATCTTTTATTTTTAAAAAAAAATCATGGAAATATTTTTAAAAGCCACCACACCACCTAAGTGAAAATTTAACAGGGGGGGGGACGCGAATTTTATCAAGTGAGCAATCAAATGAATTTTTCACAAAGTGTAATTTTTAAACAAATTTTTTTTTTTTCAAAGCTTATATGACTTATTTTTATTAATGAAAAAGAGGAGAAAAATATATTATATTGCATATTTAAAAAGATAATATAAGGAAATAAAATATAATAAAGTCTATATATTATAAACATGATAAAATTAAAATAGAGTGAGTGCGTGCGAAATCTAAAGATAAAAGGCGCATGAATAGTTTGATTACTGTTCGATCGTTTTTTTATGCTATGATTTTTTCGCTAAATTCGATATAATTTCACGAACGATTTTACATTTTTGTTACTGCCACTGAAGAAAAATCAAACATTTCAAGTTTTCATTACATTGGAAAAAAGATGAAATGTAATAACGTGTTCCTCGACGTATGATGCAACGAAAAAATTATGATTTAATTTTTTATATGCTTGTTTCTTAAATGATTATGGTTTCCTTTTTTTATAAAAAAAAAAAAAGAAAAAGAAAAAGAAAGATGATTTCGTAAGAGAAGAAAAAGACATATGTAAGAAAAAAAGGATAATTACAGAAGAAGCGTGGATTGTTAATATTTGGAATTTTTTTTAGTGAGGGAATAAAAAAAAAATGTATATGAAAATTTCATGCAAGAAAAGAAAAATATACTAAAAAATTAATATTAAATCCTTTTTTATGATGATGATTTTTTGTGAGCGAATACAAAACTTTTTTTTTTAAATTACATATTAATTTGTATTCACACAGCTTTTTTTACACATCACGCATAAAAAAGGAACTATTACCGTTCATAAATTCTTTACAAAATTTCTCGTAAAGTAAATGCAAGAATATGAAGAGACGTAAAAAAAAAAAGAAATTATATATTCGAAAGAAAGAAAAGATTAAAACATGGAATAAAAGAAATTTTTTTTGTTTTGTTTGATGTATTCTTCAATTTTTACAAAATGAAATCTAACCGTCGATGTTTCGCGAACCCGATCACTAGCTTACAATCGGCCATACAGATTGAATTCCTTGCACAAACTCCTATCGTAATTTGCCATAAAATTTGTTGATATGGCATTGTCGCTTATGTCAAGAGTTGGCGGAGGTAGAAATCTTTGCGAATGTCGCACGAAACGACGATCATTGCCGAACGATGACGATGATGTCAACGAGGGTAATGGTTGAGGGGCGTTCGTCATCGGTGGGGAATGATATAATGGAGGTAGTTGAGTTGTGTGATGTGGTGACGTCACCATCGAATGATTACTGGTCGGACTTGAATCATATCTTATGGCTCGTGGAGAAGACGAGGGAGTAGGAGTTTGAGGTGGCGTTGGAATGGTCTGAATTGTTGGCATGGTAGTAGGTCTGAGTTTATAACCTCCTATGCCTGGTTCATGTACCATTATCATGGGTTCATTTGTCGTCGCTTGTCTCTTTGGTTGATAAACGTAACCAGGATACATGTAATCGTGAACTTTTTTGGCGCAAACGGCCAAAAATCCATACAAATCTTTAACTTCTTGATTCTCTTGCTTCCACTTTTTTGCGGCGAACTTTGAGACAAAATCCAATCTACCAGCGGCATTGGTACCTTTCTCCTTTGCGATTTCGGCTTGAACGTTTCTTCTATAGATAACAAAAGAATTTTGCGGTCTTGGATTCTTAACGGTTCTTACATTAACGCTTGGTGTGATTAATTCTGGTAAAGGTAAAGTCGTGTATTTTTTTATTTTGAGTTGGGTCGCTTCATCAATCGTTTCAGAAATAATCTGCTCGACAATTTCGGTTTTTGAAGGGTGATGATATGAAGGTTGACCATATGGAGTGTAAGGATTCATGAGCCGATGGTTTTTTGTCGTTTCGAAACAATAATAAGACATCTTGAAATTATTCATTGCAATTTAGGAGGAGAGATTAGAACGTTATATCAAAGAGAATCGAGAAAATCGTTGATAAAAAATCGTCGTTGAAAAAAAAAAAAAAGTTGGGTTCGTAATGAGTCCTTATAAACTTTATTGGCTTAATAGAGCTATATATATATTTATTTTATGTATCGACCGCAGCTTTCGGTTTTTTTTTTGTGTGGCTTGAAAAAAATAAGAAGGAAAAAAAAAAAAACTTTTTTCAAGTTTTAAACAGTTTGAATCCAAAAAAAAAAAGTTCCGATTTCTTACCTTTATAACTTTTTTTTTTTTCTCTTATTAATAATAAAAAGTTCCGAAACAATGAAAGGTTATAGAAAATAGTAAATATGGTATATATTTATTTAAAAAAAAATTTTTTTTTTTTTTTTTTCTTTACAAAGAAATTTTTATTATATTTATATATATGTATACACATATATATATAATAATAAAATATTCGGGGCGCACAGTAAAATTGTGTTTAATTTAAAAAGGATTATATAATTTTTTTAAAATAACAAATATAATTTTTTTTTATTATCTTGTATTTAAACGGAATTAATTTCTATTGAAATTTCCCGACATATTTCGGATAAAATGATTATCTGACTCTAATGCATGATTAAATAGTTTATTGCATTAAAAGATACGCCCTTTTAGTATTAAATGAAAAAAAAAAAATTTTTTTTTACTATTTTAGGATAATTTTTTTGGGTAAAATGAATTTCATGGTAACACTGCGAAGTACAATAAAAATCTCTTGATTGCTCAATAGTAATATATATATATATATAGCAAGTATAAATTATAATTTACATTACCTTCTAATTTATTAGAAACTACTATAATAATCAATAACAATAATAATAATTGGAATTTGGGCAAACAAGACTAACTTATGTTGAAAATTTTTATTTTATCACCAAACGTTCCACCGTAAAAACCTAAATTTAAAAATATTTTCGTTTTTGAACTGACTGTTCCAAAAATCAAACAGTTTGTCCGACCAAAAGAACAAATTTAAAGGCAAAACCTCCGATATATGTCCTAAATGAAAATTTTGAAATCCTAACTATGCCAAGTGATTTATTTTTTCGGAATGATAGGCATGAAAGAGTCTTTATTAAGAAATGATAATGAAATGAATGTAAATGCTACGTCAAAGTAACAAGAAAAACGTTCCAAACTCACCACCCGTCATTATTTTCATTATTAATACAAAAAAAAATAAACAGAATGCCGTCATAATTCTGGAAATTTCTCCCTTTGTCAACTTCTCTAACCAAAAAAAATTTTTCGGACTTGATAAAAAGAAAAAAAATTTCTCTAATAGAATTTCTTTTTTTTGATTTTTTCAGCCAATTGTTATCATTTCCCTTTAGTTTCTATCTTTCCTATTAAAGTAAGGTTTCAGCCAACCTGTGCTTATTTTGGTAAATAATGTTTACTCCGACAATGTCTTTTTGTTTATTTATTTGCTATAATGATTATGATTATGCAATTGTGCTTCGTAACGCTTTTTGCTTATTTAGAATGACTTCTTTGAAATCTATATATATTATCCTTTGAAAATGCAAGAGCACTTTTACGTTAACGCTTTAATCGGCAAAGGTTTAGATCCTGTGGTGTCACGGGTGTTGACCGATACAAATCACTTTCCACGGTGTCATCAATCATAGATTTTCGCCAATCAAAGGTCGCCGTGTCACTAGAGCTCATTTGTGTGACACGAATTTCTCCATCCTTTTAAATAAGGAGATTTCTTGAAAATGATTTCTTATTGTTTAATCCTTCTCCGAAAAAATATATCATTTTTACGCTAGATAGTAATAATTATCATCATATTAAAGGTTAAAATACTGGTTTTTTTTTTTCCTCTTCATTGTATTCAGTTACACGACACATCGACAATATATCATCCTTCGAAAAGGAAAGTATAAATTAAGAGATCCTGTCATTTAAGTTATTGTTTGGAATTCGTCATTTTGATGAACCGGAGAGTCGATGCCAAAGAAAGGTATTTCGTCCCGTTTATTTTTTTTTTCCCGTTCCCTGCGGGCGGAAGATCACATAAAAGAAATCTATGAAAATGATCCCACCAGGCTATGCTATAAATACGTCGGGATAATCAGATAATCACGAAAACACTCATTTTTTAATGCCGGCGTAATTATTTACTTTTTGTCATTTAAAAGAAAAAATATCGTTGAAAGGCGAAGGATAAAGTTACCCGGTTTCCCCAATGATCTTTTGATCATTGATCAATGAGATATGAACCTAATCAAGCGATAAGCTATCTCATACCGATATGAAAATATCTTTTTTTTTCTTTGATACCGCTTTTAGTAAATCCAATATTTCGTAACCCTTCGGTTTCCCCTCGATTGATCAAATATTTCCATGCATTTCATTACTTAAATTATACTCGCTTTCTCAGGCTTTCAACAATTTCCAAAGTGAAGCACAAACACATGGCAAGCATTGTATGCAGCATGTATAATCATCAAATAAAAACAATCAAAATTTCCGGTTACACGATTTTAGTCATTGTAATAATAATGACTTGTTGATATTATACTCCAAAGTTCTTTTTTTTTACGCAACCACAAGAAAGAACAAGAGAAAAAAAAATTTTTTTTTTTTTCGCCAAGGTCACTTTTTTACTATTTTAAACACAGACTGACCGTTCCCATTGCTAATTGCCTAATTTTGTCGATGCACATAAAAAATATAAGAAGGTAAAAAAAAAAAGGCGTGATTTTTTTAGTAAGAGGGTTCAGCTTATAGTTTATCGAATAATAATTTTTATTAAATACTTCACATACGCATACATTGTCGTTTCATACATTGAAACAAGGAGTAAGGTTGGTTGTATCACACCTGGCTTTTTTTTTTCGAAAGAATCAAAAAAAAATAATAATCAGTAAATAAATGCTGCGCCCACGATTAATCGATCTTTACCCATTTTGCAAATATGTAATTCTGCTCACTATGACCAGGATTTTGATACTCGGCAAGATCCGCCGTAATTTCCTTTAAGATGAGGTAAGAATGTTGAGGGATAAACCTTGTGACATAAGAGATTCACTCAAATGCGCGTGTCACGTGCCACAAGACAGAAAAGACAATAAGTAAAGTTTGTACATGTGACATAATTAAATCGAAAAATCAAAAAGGAGAAAAAGGGAAGATCGGACTCGTTAATTTTCAATGGTGATAAACAATCAGATAGAATGAGTTTGAATGAATGATTGAGTTACCCGTAAAAATGATTGATGATGAAATGCGTAACCACAACAAGGTCTGCACTGAACTTCGATCGAACTTTTTTTTTTTTTCATTCATACCAATTTTAAATACGCCCCATTTGTAGTGTCAATGCGCATTAAATAATAGGTACATATTTAGAAATCAATAGAAGAGTTTTCTCTCATTCAAGTATCAATCATAACAGCCGGTTACATAATTTAACTTGTTCCCTATTGTGATATTTATTGGTTGACTTATAATGATGCAAATACAAATGACCAAAGATGAAATTTTCGTTAATCGAGGATATTATTGTTATGGGTTATTTTTTTCCAATTGTCGATATTTTTTTCCAATAAAAAAAAATTATCCAATTTTGGGTTTATAGAATAGTGGCAATCTTTTGAATCACAATCACATTACAGATAGTTTGTCACACAAATGTAAACCATAACATAAATAGTTTCGGAGCTTTACATGAAAAAAAAACCAAAAATATTTTGCCACGTTATCATTTAAATATACAAGAAAAAAAATGGGGAAGGGAAAGGTATTTTTAATAAAATGGTTAAAAGTAATAGTAGATCATTTGGGAAATGTTTTGACTTTCAAACAAAATGAAACAATATTATTGTTTAATTGACATTTTTGGTTTAAATATTATTACTTGTGGCTTTAATTAACATATGATATGATGTTGAAAATGTAATAAAAGTGTTTGAATGGATATAAAAGTTTAGATTGTCTTTATTGTTGTTACATCAATATGGGGTTAATGCTTTTGTGGCGGGAATAACTTATATTTTTTTTTTTACTCATTTGTCAATTTAAATTATCCAGTTTTGGATTAAATTGTCAATGATGATTAATTACAATGAACATAATGAATAATTGTCAGCAAATCGCCAAGGAAAGTATCGAATGTTGATTTTATAATAAATAAATAAATAAAGAAATTAAAATAACTTTAATTGTAGTAACTCCTTAAAAAAATTTTGAAGCATTTCCTGGTCGGGGCTAAGCCCGTTTAGTTCACATTGGTTGCGGAGAACATCCTAATAATACAATAAAGCATACGATTATACACACAAAGAATTTATAAACGTAAGGTATTATAATGAAACAATTACGTGTAATCTACATTAAATTGATTGACCGCATGTTGCATTAAAATTACCGCGTTGGCAGTCATTGATTAGTCATTTTGGGAAATGTTAAAAATAAACGAAAACACGTGAAAGAGTGATCAGAGTTTTAAGTTTCTTTGTATCCTATATTAGCTAAAAATTTAACACAAATGTTAATTTTAATTAAGAAGTACATGATCGAAGGAAATCCATTTTCTTAGCATTTTAGAAAGTGAAATCTTCGGTCATTACATTGCTTGTGCGTGAAATACGTTAAAATCCATCAAACAAAGACGCACCCGTTCTCCCCCGGTAATCTACATTCAATAGCAACATATTCGGTAATATATGATTGTAATATTTTTTTTTTTGTTTTTTCTTCTTGAAGTTCAGGAATATTTTTTGATTCGAAACAGGCACCGCATTCAAACTCATTGAACAGCTTCCTCTTTTGATGATGATCTTGAATAAAAAATCACAAAGAACGGTGTGCATTGAAAAAGGTCAAAAAGTCGATTTTGGCATATTGGTACTTTGTGTGGCTCATACATTGTCGTGTCACGAACAAGCATCGTGGCGTGCATGGCTAATGAGCCCTCCGCGATATGATAGATTAGATACCGTCCGATATGTCTTTTGGAGACGAAAACGATAACAACAAAGTACGTAATATCTATGTCAAAATCATGTTGACATTATGGCTACGAACGTGAATGGAAAGTGATTGAGATATTATTTTCTTTCAATTAATAAGAGAGCGTTCCCGCTTGATATCTCTGATTGATTAAAATTCCTTAAAAAAGATTGTGCACTAGTTACATCATCGGATTATTATTATGATTGAGTTTGTGTTGCTTTTTTCTTTTATGCAAGTTTAAATGACCTACCTACATTTGTCTTTACACACTTTTTTTTTATTTTATTTTTTTTTTTTTTATGTATTATTTTATATTATACCTTTTCAAATAGATTAGAATAACAACATAAAAAAAAATATAATAATAATAAAAATAATTTGTTTTGGGATAAAAAAAATTTTAATATACTGTATTGGGATCAATAATATAAAGGTATCATTATAGGGTTATCAATATAAACAATTAATTAAAATTGAAATTGGATGTCTAGGTTTTCTTTGATAATTTTAGTCAAGGATTTGCAATTTATTTGATTTCGATGAACGTATATTAGGTTAGGATAATCTACAGATTTCTTGACCGGAATTATGTAAAGTATATATATTAATTCTTTTTTTTGTTTTCGGAAAACGGGGGAAATCACTTTATGTTAGATTTGCAATCATTCACCTTACCAAAAGCGATAAAATTCTATGCTTGAACTGCTACGTTTACGTATTTGTTAATAACGTGTTTTAATTTTAATTCGATTAATTGATAATATATTATTTGCACATCCATGATATCGGATTAAAGAATAATTAATTCGATACAAATAACCGAAGAACCAATCAAACCCGTTCCATCATTATTACTGGTAAAGACCTACTTTATATTTTTAATAATTTTTAACAAGGTTTTTTTTTTATATTTGTTTTTTTTACTACAATATCTTACTTATTTGAGAAGCATAATGTAACCTCTTTCTTTCTTTCTTTTTTTGTCCTCACTTTCAATAACAACAAGTAAATAAATAAAAACCCCCGTATCACTCTTCAATTGTTATCGTAACCTTAAATGAAAGAACTTCTCAATTGAGCAAAACAGTCTCATCATCGTCCATAATCATCATCATGTAGGGTGATACATGATGTAAGTGACCGAGTAAATTAAGCAATTGAATAGCATAACGAGATAACGAGGTTAAAATGGGCGTTCAAGGAAAGCGGGCAAAAGGGATGCAGTAAACGCGAACTTTTATTGATTTCAAAAAGAAAGGAAGGGGGAAAATAAGAATCTCGAATGAACCTCAATTTGTTCCGTGATACAGACATGAAACGTCTGTATAACTTCGGATATACCTAAGGCTGATCATCAAATCTTAATAATTATTGAAGCATACTGTAAGGGTTCGTTCAATATTTCCAATAATGTAAATGATGTAAATCCTAATTTAATTTAATTTTACCTGGTAAGTGATATCAATATAGATAAAAATTGTGATTATCAATGTTTGAAAGGCATATCCGACCAATTAGAAGTGACATGTGATTGTGTTTCGACGTGAATATTAAAATTATTTTTGAAACACATGAATTAATTGAATGTCGCTTGACTAAAGATAATCGTGTTTGGTCAAATTTCACGCACATCTATAATCTAAATCAAATCGATCACATTTTGGTCAAAAAAAAAAAAAAAAATAGAGTTTTACTTAAAATTTGCTCATTAGCATATACTAATTCATCGTCTTATCAATCATCTACAAAAAAATTATATTTGGTCTAACTTAAAAGTTCATCCGTATAATTTATATTAGCGGTATGTAAGCAGATACCGATATATTTTTATAGTTTACCCCAAAGGTTCTTTTTTTTTCCCGATCTCCACGGGCTTAATAAATACCGAAATTTTTTATGGTATATGATTACTTTTAAAAGCAATTTCAAATGAGTCATTTAAGAAAATATTAAAAAAAAAATTTTTTTTTTTTAAGATTTAATTAAATGTTTCGGTTAAAGTATAGGTGGCATGATAACATTTTGAACACTCGTACCAAGGCTAATTACAATGACCAAATGAGCAATTATTAATAAAGGTTACAACGCGTAACTTTATTATGTTCTATTGTTACAAACCTTATTGTGTGAAATGGATGATAATACACAAACATCATCCTAACAATGTGTGAATTGAGAAAATAAAATACAGGAATCAAAATTGGAATTATTTATTCTTTATTTGGCAAATAATAAATGGTACTTAAAAAAAGATTAACTAATACTTTTTACATACGATTCGAGGTTAATTGTGCGTAGAATGAATCATTTAATATGCTTTTTAATATTTCTATAAAGAATGTTCAAGGGCAAATAATAAACCCTTTTTCCTTTCAGCCGATTCATCCCCGAAACTTTTTTTCTTTAAATAGATATACCGAAAAGGATTATCATAGGACCGCGAATCAGTAACTCATTTTGCGATTATACAGCTTCTGCCAAGTAATATTCGAGCTTCTTCAATTAAATTAGAAAACAGCCATTTCCCCGCATACTTTAATATTATTCGGAAAATCACCAATTGCACCGCACATATGAAGGATATGGTCTATTGTTATTATAAAAACGAATAATAAGGTGGGGAATGTTGATTTGTAAACTGTAAGCGCCGAATCTTTTGCTTGGAAGCTTTAATCAGCAAAAAAAGTAAAGAAGGGTCGATCCATTTTTAAGTTTGAAACGTCCAATTTTATTAAATATATTTTTTTCCTTATTAATTTTTTGGTGACTAATCATTAATATTAAGCATCGTGGCATAGTGATTATGATCATAAATTTGATGATTTAATTCTTAATGGAAATTCTAATTTATATGTCACTGATGGCCAGCATTAAAATATTTCATAATTCCGGCCGATATGTTTTTAACCCTAATTTTGATGAGAAATTATGAAAAATTATAACTTCTCCAGAATTAATTGTACGTGATCAACAAACTTTCAACATACTTCAGCAAGCTTCAAGAGTCATGATGATTTTTTCTAAAAAAAAAAAAAAAAAAAAAAAAAAAAAAAAGAATTCTCATAAATAGTGATCACATCCTTAGCTTTTTTTCTATTACTCTCGTTCTTGTCGACTTCTATTTTCAAAGTTCAAAAAAGAGAAACAATGTTGTTGGGACCATATTCATTAGAAATTATTGTTGACGGATCACCTATTCCCGAGCTTAGCGAACCCGTGAAAAATTTAAAAGTACCCGTATGTAACGCAAATTTTTTTCCCCTCATCTTCACCATACAAAATAAATAAACCTTAAACTTTTTACAGACTTCCACCGGTCCTTCGTACATTTTTAATGAATTGACCGGACAATGGCATATTAGTGATTCCATTACTTGGGCCAAAGTACGAGATACTGGTTCACACTTTGCCGTTAGATTCTCCTCATCATCAGTTTCACCTTGGTTTCCCCTAATGGCTTTTCTCGTTATTGATGGTCAATTGGATTATCGTTACGTGGAAATTTATAATACTGATTTCCACTCGCGAGATCATTTCTTATCATCTGATAAATCCACAAAATATTTTTTTAAATTCAATCATTCCATTTGGTCTGATGAATATCAACCTAAAGGTTGCGATTTTAACACAAGATATGGAGGTCTTGGTGCGGTTTCCTTGTATTTTTACAGGGCAAAGTCAATCAACGAAAAGTGTGATGTCATGCCACATGTTGACATCCGGCAACCCGTCCTATCGGAAAGAAAAGTTACCAGAGATATTACAATCTCTACAAGTTTTGATGTGACCTTAAACCATTTAGGTCTTTCCATTCCCAATATGAACTATTTGCAATCTTTGTATTGCGTTCCTATTGGAGTTTTACACTTGCATTATCGAACTTTAAATGTTGTTTCGTTACCAATTCATTTTCCACCATGTGAAGCTATCGCACGATATTTCACTCGTTACATGATTATGGATCCAAAGCAAGGATCTAAATATGGTGAATCCTTACCGATCAAACATGAACTCGAATGTAATGAATTCTTATCAACCAAACAAGTATCAGAATATAATGAATACTTGTCAATAAAACAAGAACCCGAATGTCATGGATTCTTATCAATAAGGCATGCACCTGAGGAATGTGGATTTACACCAATAAAGCAAGAGAATTTTCAAGTTGAAGTACTTGCCTCGGAAAATCAAAAGGATGTAAACTCTTGGTTTGATTTGAATCATTCAACGAATCAATCCTTTGCGAATTTCAGGCAAGAAATCAAAAAAGAATTAATCACTCCAATCAAGATTGAAACAATTAGTATGGTCGCCAAGCACCATGATTTTGTGGATCACAAGAAGAACAAAGTTGGAGGAGGAACGAAGAAGAAAAACAAAAAAAAAAGTCATCGTAGTTGTAAAAAGAAATTACGTAAATCAAAATTAGCTTAAATTCGGGAATTCCGCTAAGTGTTTGAAAATCAGCATGCGGATAAAAGATAAAATTTAAGGTAAATGAATTAGATTATTTTTTTTTTAATTTTTTTTTGATTGGATTGAAACAAAACATTAATGTCACTTATTCTTCTTTATAGAATGCAATGGAAGGATTTTATAATTTTTTTTTTTTTGGAACTATCGTTGATAAGATATTTTTTTTTTTTTTACAAAACAACAGTTTAAATGTACAAAGTGTCATGTTGGTCATATGTGTTACACAATGTATTTTTCGAATTTCTAAAGCATAATAAGGTGTAAAAAGTTGCTCTTTATTGTACAAAGCCAATTACTGAATAAATAAATTCCTTAAGTTATCAATTGATGACGTAATTGCTTTATTAGGACATTTGTATATGTAGTATAAATGTACAAATTTAGGAGGCGATACATTATCTGATAATCATCACATCAGTATGCGCGTGTGTACAAGAAAGCATTATTACTGCGCAATAATACTGTATTTCACGCCCCAATTCACGCACATAACAAAATTGTGATAAGCAATATATGACCATGTCAATAATCAAATTTTTTGACAAGCATTTTTTTAATCACTCGAAGCCATAAACCAAAAGCCTTTTATATATGCGAGAACTTAATTCGTTTCGCGCCAATGCAAGTTTTAAAGAAATACAAACTCAATACTCCCGGTTGACATAGCTTTTTATATTGTTAGTATTGATTTCTCATCATTATAGTCTTCACCATTGTCTTTAGGAGAAAATAAAGATTGTGATCAATTCGTTTATATTACAAATTACAGCGTTTCAATTTATGGAGTCAAATCGCCCAGATTTTAATTTAATAAATTGAAAATGTGTGTGTTTGATTGATAACTTTTTCACTAATCTCTTTACGTTTACACAATACTTTAACCCTATTAACTTTATCGTTGCCATGAAATACGTTGGAAGATAAATCAGAAGTCATTATTTGTGGTGGAAAGAGATGGTCTTTGAGAAGTAATAAGGCATGTCCAGAACGACTAGTTCATCAGTTAAAATAGCTCTATTTATTAATGCTTTTGGAACGCTTTAATAAATATTTGAAGATGTTTTGCAGCTACTTGTTTCGAATTATTTTCATATCTGTTAGCTGGGAAATTTACTGCGCCACAATGACCGTCGTACTGCCGATTTTTGCAAAGCGCGTAAAGCTTTATCTATTGTATTTTATTGATTTTACATTATTTATCAATAAAATAAAGCGTAGTTAGTATTGGGATATAATTTTATTTAAAAGGGCCTGCTATCTGACCTTGAATCGTCAGAGATTAATAAAACTTGCGAGTGCATGTAGACAATAAATCAATAAAAAATACTTTTTACATTTTTAACCTTCTTCTCGTCCTCATTAAGTTTTGTTTGTGATAAATACTACACGTTGAATCATTATAAATCGTTTATTTGTTATAATTTCTCTTAACGCTTGGTTTCGGTGACATTCCAGGCTTGTTAAACTTATTAATATTGCAGATAACAATATTCATGAAAATTTTATACGATATTCACATGTAATTTTATGAGCGTAAATTTTAATAAGTTTGGTTGCCTAAAGTAATATTAAAATTTTAAAGATGGACGATTATGTTAGTTTACATGTAAATAAAAGGTATATGAATTTGCCAAAACGTCTTTGTATAGTAATTTCCACGAAGTAGCAAATGTGGAACTTATTGGAAATGATTATAAATCATTAGGATTTAGAGAATCTAGAATTTTTGTTAACGTATCTGCATTAGATGATGTTTCTAATTAATATATTTTTATTAAACATACCAAATACAAAATTTATATCAGCATATAATATACTATATTTCGATTCGATAAGTATACTGTTAATAAGTAATGTCTTTTTTATGTCGTCAATACCGGATTGTCAAAGTTGTCTTTGCAAATGGTTGTAACCCGCATTGGCATTGCGTTACAAACGATAAAATTGTTCGCGATCAAGCTACCAGTATGACTCTCAAAGCGTTTGTTATATGTTTTTATGCAGCACGAAACCTTCAAGATGCCTTTTATATATGAGTAGTAATAATGGTCAAAGGCTAGAACCTTTTGATAAATCATTCCTAGTTGAGTTCTTTATTCACATAAAGCACTATCATAAATAATACTTGTATTATCGAAAGCGTTATCTTAACATTGTTCTCGGGATACGCCAAGGAAAAATTTACAAGAATTCACATCATGGTTTACGTTTTGAAAATTTGATCTTACACATGATAATATCAAAAAATCCACCCGAACGACGGCGACTGAATTAGATTAATCGATATTCTTTAATTTTAAGTTATTGAATAAATTATTTTAACAATTGAATTCTTTATAAATATGCAATGTATTCACCTTAAATAGTATCTTTTATTGCTGTACATGGTTTATTCCAAAATAAATCTTGTATAAATGTTGCGATGAAATCTCTATGAGTAACAATACTATTGAATAAAATGAATACAAGGGATTAATTTACTTTAGAATGTAAACAAATTATAATATTATATTATTAAGAATATAGCAAACATGAATTTCATTATCGTTAATAGTCTTGTTGTTATGCACATACACTTTCTCATTGTAAAGTCACGCCCAACTAGTTCATTTTCCGCACTGATTCTTAGGTATTTTATTTATTTGAAAGATTCCTATAGCAATATTAATAAGATTATCGGATTCCATTCCATTATTAAAAATTTTAAGTTATGACATATAAAACTAGGAACATTTGCGTATCTAACTATTTAAATTCTAATTAATACATGATGATAAAAAGAAATTCTCTCGAGAATTAATTAGGGAGTGTATTTATTAAAATAATTGAAACTAACCTGATGCATTTACTATCTCAACAATAAAAAATAATTATGTTAAGTTTTAGAAAGCATTAATAGTTTATATCTTCCGCAGTACTGTACATTTGTATTTTGCAAAGACAAAAGTTATGTCAGAAATGCTTGCATGCTTACAATAATCTTTGCATGTTCTCGTGCGTGCGTTCATCAAAAGCTTTCGCAAAATATAAGGCCGTTACGTTTTTTTTGTTTTAAATGACCTAGGCTATTTTGACTTAAAATTTATAATAAACATTATGTCATTTTTGAGGTATATGAGGTGATTTCAAGGTTTTTTCAAGGTCATTTGCCAACATGGCATGGTTAATATAAATAAATGATTTGTAATAAAGATAAATTGGGACAGCGCTATAAATTTTCCACAAGTAAAATGAAGCTTATGGTCGCATTGAAATCAGTGGTTTAATTTTCTGTAACTGAATGTTTGTATACATGACCATTGTTTACTTCATAAATATTCAAAAGTGGACGTTTTGGTGGTTTTTATTTAAAATGTTAATGCGCTCATGATTTGCAAGGCGTCAAAAAAATCAGTAAAAGAATCAAAGCTAAATGCATTAACATTCGCAAATATCAAAATATATTAATTTGATAAAAGCGTAGAAAAATTAATATATTTATTTATAACGATCATATAAAATTAACTACATATTGCTCAAAAAAAAATTTAAAAAAAAAAAAAAATGTAATTAATCCAATTATCCTCTATATGATAATTTTTATATTTGATAGTAGAAATTAAGCCTCAATCTTAACTGAAACAATTTCAAAAAAGAAAACACCACAAAATTTTTTCACCCTCATGTGACCTTAATATTTTATCATATCGCGTCACAACCTTCTCCTTTTCATTTTACTATTTTCGATGTGAAAGACCCTATTTGTCAACTTATTTTTTCATGGTTAATTTCGGCCAAGTTCTATAATGCCCGTTCAAAAATCAGTGAGGGTGTTTGCATTAACGAGCAACCACGTGTAGCCGCAGTTGAAGTGATCAACAATAAAAAAATTATAAATTATTATTAATCGTATCCAAGTTTAAAAGTAACTCGAATAACGTATTTCACATAAAATCGTTCTATGAAATCTTCTTTATTTTTGATATTCAATTTAGACAGCACCAATAATTTTAAGTTATAAGGTCTTTTAATTCAATCAAATTTTCCACTTCTGATGTAAAGTATTTATCATTAAATACTTTGGGGATGGATAGTTCTGAATCATATTTTGGCAAGGAGTCGACCATATGTGATAAACGAATAGTTTCTCTTTTAAATTTGGTAAATCGGAAATAATCTACTAACTGTAAAGTTTGTTAGTAGATAATTCGATACAAAGCAATAATACTAGGCATATATACTTACAATATCATTAGAAGAATTATTAATTTCAATTGATGGTTCAAAATAATCTATAGAAGTGTCATTTTCTATTACAAATGGAAGCGTATATTCAATCCAACCTAATCCAACAAGTTTCTTCAAATCTTCGTATTTTAGAGTATGCTCATTATCGGACCATATATACGCTTAATTAAATAAAGAAATTTAAAGTCAGTATAATAAATATATTTATAGAATTTGATAACACTTTAAGTTACCTTTATCTCCTGTAACCATGCCAAAGTTCACATAACAAAATTCGAATACTTCGTTGATACACAATCTCCAGATAACATAGTATTGAGAATTTTCCCAAATTGCGGTAATAATTTTAGGTAAAGTAAATGTCTTTATATCCTTGCCATTCAATATGTATCCCGATAAACTATATAAATAAAATTTATTATTATAGCTTATATTGACGGAATTATCATAATATAAAATAAACCTACCCGTCTTCTGAAATTATTGAATGTTTATAGTTCGATAAAAAGCAAATCCTTTTTTCTATAAAAAATTTATTAGAAATCGTTATTACAATTAATCGAAGAAAATTCAAATTTTACCTTCAAATAAGAAATTTTTGAACGAATCCGCTAATAAATATGTACTTAATAAATTGGGTTTATAATAATGATTATATAAGTATACCCAAAACTTGTTATATTGTCGAAATACTTTTATAACAAAGATATTTTCTTCAGACATTTCCCATAACTCATTAAAAAGTAATAATGCTTTATCATAATCTTCTTTTTCAATAGATAATTTACATTTGATAAAAAGTGATAATGTAATTGTATCTAAATTATAATTAGTCATATAATTCTTTAATTCATTTGAATATAATCGATTCTTATTTAAAATATGAACATTTTCAGGGTCGATCTTAAGTGCGTTTGTAAAATATTTTATAGCTTCATCATATATGCCTAATTTTACAAGTATTTCACCATAATAACATAAAATTAGAGAATCCTGATAACTAATTTTTAATAATATACTCAACATTTCTAAAGCACTCGAAAAGTTTTCTTGCTCCTCATAAATAAATGCACTATGCTTAAGGCATAGATAATTATATGGATCATGCTTTAATGCAATATTAAAACTTTCCAATGCATAGTTATAATTATATATTGAATTATAACCTCTTTCTTGATCTTTTATTCCTTGGAAAAGGTAACTGTTTCCGAGTATGATATTTAAATTCTTTATTTTTGTTTTATCAATTTTAATTAAAGAATTCAAGTCATTTATTACATCATCATAATTTTTTTGTCTGTAATGTATTTCTCCACGAATGCACCAAGCAATTAAATTTCTTTCATTTAAGTTAATAGCTTCATTTAAATAAAAACATGCTTGTTCATAATTGTTGAGAATTCTATAAGTATATGCCAAAATACATCTCATAGAATAACTTTTTGGAAAATCTTTTAAAAATTCTTTACACCAATATTCAGCTTTTTCGTAACTTTTTTCGGTTAGCTCTTTCATGGCATTTTGATATGCTGGATATTGTTTTTTTGATAATCTAATTTGAAAGATTGATCGTAATGATATGTTTGTACTAATTTTAAATATTTTGTTAATATTCGCTTTTTTAGCCAATATAAAATCATCAGAATCACTAGAATCACTAGAATCACAATTATGAGTCTCTAAATTTTCTGTTTCCATTGATGTCAAATTATATCCAGCTTCATGAAAATGTGGATATAAGTTCCTATAAATAGCATTTTGTGATAAATATCTGACTTCGTTATCTTTAATAATTTCTCGACATTCAGGACATTTACTTTGCTTTAACTTATTGAAATTACTCAATGACAATATATGTTGACACTTTAAAACGCATATTTGATTAGTTGGTTCGTGTCCAATTGAACAAGTCATCTCATCTGCAATAACATCTAAAACATTGCTCGAGTTGGAAATGTGCTCATCTTTTAAATATACACTTTGATCTGAAGATTTTAATTTGACTTTTCCCTTTCCTTTTCCAATATCATCATTTATAATTTTAAGATCTTCTTTGAATTTCTCTTTAGTAAATTTTAATAAGCTTTTAAACCTTTCTAAAGAATCAGTTGAAGCATTTTCACTTAGATTTTGAGAATATTGATCAAAATCAGCTTCTATAATCGAAAATATTTCATTATTAATATTGTATAAGTGTATTAAAATCTCAATTGCTTTAAATTGAATGAAACTACTAGGCGAATCGTGAAATGATTTAATTGCTAAATAATAGCAAAGCCCATGTGTACCCGTCTGATTAGATTTTTTGATAAGATTATGCGCAAGATCCAATATTCCGAACCATAAAGTATGAGGTAAAGCAAGAGGTTCATTCCCAGCAAGATCATTTAATAAACCTCCAGTAATTTTTAATGCCTTAAAAATTTTACTCGATATTTCATCAAATTTTATTTGAGAGTCTAAAAAAGTTTGATCAACACTATTCTGTTCTTCTTCTAAATAATTCCAAAGATATTCCATTATGATCTTTTCTCCAAATTTTTTACTAATTATCTTATCAATATCATGTTGAATTATTAACAAAGTCCTCCAATCAAAATAATAACGTGCTATTGGATGTTTAAAACATAAGCCTTGGCGTAATTGTGTAACCATTGTTAATATCGAACTACTATCATTAGGACAAGGAACTCCGGATGCAACCTTTGATAAAATTCCCGGAGTTACACCTATGGCAGCTTTAAGTATGTCTTTTACTCTTCGTATTAATTCTTGGAACCAAGTTTCATCATCACGTAAACTATGTAATGTATCACGCAAATGAATTAACAAAAAATCAATATTATAATTTCTTTTTCTAACTGTATTTTCATTTTGATCCAAATATTTTTGTTGAGAAAATTGATTAGATTTAGGCTTAAAAACGTTTTCTAAACCATCTTCTACCACTTGTGTTGTCTTTCGATGTATTTCTGCAAATTTTGCCAATGAATTATAAACATTTTCACGAAGTTCTCTACTAAGACGTATTGGGTAGAAACATATCCTTTCTAAAACAATTACCCATGTACGTATATGTAATTCTAACCTGGCTACACTATCTTTTGAATAAAAATTGAATGGATTGGGGTCGGATAAAGTAACTAATGAATTTATTAAGATTTGAGGTGAAAATTCATTTTGCGAATCTTCAAAAAGTAGCTTTAAGTTGTATAAATTTTTCGGTAAAGTTAAATTTTTGATAAGATATTGAACTTTTTCCTCTAGAATTGTAAGTCCAGTTTGATTTTTTGGAATGTTTCCTAAATCGTCGAGCATAGCTATTTTCTTACTAGAACAACTTCCATTCTAAAGATTTATTTAAATAATCAACTTATATATTTGCAAATTTGCAAAGTACTACAAAGATAAATTCTAAAATGACAAAATAATTTTTACCTGGTCGTTTGCTTCCATGTTGTTAATGTCTTGAGAGTATAATTAGTTTATTATTTATACAAATTAATTAATGTAACGTGTGACAAACTTTGCCAATTGTAGATCATAAAATTTTGATTTCAAAGCTCAGGTCATGTGATTATATATGTTACATATATAATCACATGACCTAAGCTTTTTTTGGTGATCCCGGGTTTAGGATAATATCCTAGACTCCTTCCCTTAAATATGATTGGTTCGAAACTTTTAAATATTAAAAAATAGAAATTATTCTGTATTTTTATGTACTCTAAAACATTAAAGAATAAATAAAGATTTTTTAACAATAAATCATTGTAAAATTTAACTATTTAACCTTGGAAATACAAGCTTTATTAAAATGAAAATTTATTTAAATTTTACATGCCAAAAATCAATGTTAGAATTAATAATTATATTTTATTATTAAATGCTACAAAATGCGCTTTGGTATTATTACAAATATATCAATAACTTTACAACCATTCAAGATAGACCCACGAAAATTATTGTGCAAGTATTTACATACCGCTGAACAAATCTTTTATTTGTTTTCTTGAAAATAAAAAAAATAAAACGCGTTTTAATAATATTACAAAAAAATCAATAACTCCACAACCATTAAAGCTAGACTCGCGAAAATTAATATGCAAATATTTCCATATCTGCTAAACAACTTTACTTAAGGATGTTTCACTTTTTAGTTTGACCAAAGTGCTAAACATACGTTGTGAAATCCCTATACAATATGAAAAACGCATTTGTTATGAAATTACTTATGAAAATATCACAACTTTATAATAATATTCTACACCTGAAGTTCTGAACTGCTGTTAAAGTTTTATTAATTAACGAACTTTTAAATATATTTTTAAAACATGAAAAAAGAGAAAAAATGGAAAAAGAAAAAGATTTATTATTATTAATAATGGTAAATAGGAATGTTAACGATCTCAGGAAGACGGTCTAAATCACGATCCAATCATAAGACTAATCTCAGTCCAATTTGAAGGTTGAGATTGGATCGAATCAAATTGGACTGGATCGATCCTTAAGACCAATCCTAAATCAATTTTATATAAAATTATACAACGCGTAATAACGTGTCATAACATTGATCATTTTTAGCCTAACCAGCCCAATTTTTTTGGCATAATATTAAATATGTTGTATGAAATAAATTCTCCAAATAATGATAATGAATCTATATATTCTTCCGATTCTTTATTAAGAGAGGAAGATACATCAACTTCAAAGTTCACAGTTTTTTCAGATATGTGGAAGTTTTTTGAAAAAATTCACAATTCACAAAATAATATTGTAATAGAATATAAGTGTACATTGTGTACATAAACATATGTAACTAGCAAAGTAATAAATGTTACCTTAGTAACAAACATTTAACAAGATATCAAAAATCTGAATCCAGACAAACCACCTTAAAAGGTTTAAGGTATAAGCCTTATTTCAAAAAAGAGTCTAAACCAATAACCAAACTTCTTGTTAACTTTGTTGCTGTAGATATGCAATCATTCTCTATTGTTGAAAATCCTCAATTTAAAATTTTCATCAAAAAATTAAATTCACGTTATGAAGTACTATGCATACAAACCTTAAAAGTGAATTTTATGTTTGAATTAAATTAAATAAAAGAAGAAAGCAGTTAATAGATGAAATTTCAAAAATTGAGTCTAAAATATCTTTTACAACTGATATTTGGACATCAGAAATTTCAAAAGAATGTTATCTTAGTATTACTATTCATTTTATTAATAATGATTGGGAAATGAAAAATTTTTTACTAGATTTAATACTATTACATGAATCACATTCAGCAGATTTAATTACAAATAACATTTTAATAATCCTTGATGAATTTAAAATTAGTCACAAAATTATTGCTTTAACTACTGATAATAGTTCAAATATGATGGCTTGTAGTATTCAACTAGCAGAAGAATTAAAAACAGCATTTAATAACTTTTCATTTTTACATTATAGATATGCTGCGCATATAATTAATATTGCAGTAAAAGTAGGAATAATCTTAATTGGAGATGAAATAAAAAACTACGTTAATTTATTATAAAAATAAAAAATTCACCATTATTGCTAGGTGAATTATCTGATATATGTAAAATTAAAAAAACCAAATTTTTGAAACCAATTTTGAATGTTAATGTAAGGTGGAATTCTACATATCTAATGATTGCATGACAAATTTTAATGCAAAGTATTTCAGAAAAACTTGTACAAATAAATTATGATGTTTTAAATTCTTTATTTCCAACTATATCTGAATGGCGGCTTATAAAGGTATTTATTTTTATTTATTAATTTAATTAATTAAATTATTGTATAATTAATTATCATTGTAATTAATTTATAGGAATTATACAGTCTTTTACAACCAATGTATGAAGCAACTAACCTTCTTTCATCATCATTAAATTCATCCTAAGGAGATATAAGATTAGCATTTATAGGAATATTTGCTAAATTAAATCAATATATAAGAGGATCTCATTTACAAAAACAAATAGCTTTAGCAATATATGAAAAATTATTAAGATATTGGAAAAAACACTTAGATCAATAATCTATAATATCATCTTTATTAGATCTGAGGTATAAATGTTCAGCATTTAAAGATAATAAAATTCAAAATGCTATTAAAATATTACAAGAAATGTTTTTATCATATATATCATCAAATGCATAACAAATACCTAAAACCAAAACAACCTCAAGAGATTACTTTTTAAATATACTGAATAATAATAATAACATATATAATTCTAATAATTCAAATGAAGAATTAAACTGATATTTTAATTCTTTATGTGATAGTCATACAGATCCTTTAACATGATGGAAACTTCATAGCAAAGACTATCTGATACTCTCTTATATAGTTAAGGATTATTTAACCATTCAAGTAACATCAATTGCATCTATACAAGCCTTTTCTATTTCATGTTTAGCAATAACCAAAACTAGAAATAGGCTAGATCTGAAAACAGCAAGAGCGACTATTTGTATAAAATATTGGGTTTCTAATAATTTAAGAAAGACGTGTGAAAAAGAATAAAAATTTATTCTATTCTTAACATTAATATAATAATAAAAAAACATTTTATTTTGGGTAATCAATAAATTCAATAAATTTAGCTTTTGATACTTTTTTGTAATGCTATTAAGATCAGGTTATAAGATTGGTCTAAAAGATCAGTCTAAAATCAGTCTATAAGATCGTCATTAAAGATGATCCTTAGTCTAATTTCACCTTTCAGATCTATAAAGACTGGATCAAGATTGGATGGATCAGATTGTTAAAAACCCTAATGGTAAATGATAAACAAGTAAATAACTAATGTGGCTAATGATGATGAACCAATCAAATTTGGGGGTCTAGGATATTATCCTAGATACAGGGGTCTAGATTAAGATTCTCCTTTTGATGGTATTTTCACTCCTCCTATATGAATATTTTTTTTAAAAATAAGTATCATGTGATATATACAGTTACGGACTATACCTTAGAACAAATTAAGATTTTCTGTTTTATTTAACGTAATGATCACGTGATATTATTTTATCACTTTTCTGAGACAAAGAACTTTTCAATCAAGTAAACTTAATTGTCTATTTATAAAGAAAAAGCCTTTGTTTTAAAATAATAATATAATATAAATTGTCAATTTACTATATTTAATATATATATTTATTGATTTTTTAATAAACTTTTATGTTTTTATTACATTATCATTTTTTATTATATTAATATTTTATTAATATTATATTAATATCAATTCAATGTTAATTTGATACTATTTTGATATTGTATTATTTTTTATTTTGATGTTAAATATATAAAAGACAATCAGTAAAAAAGGAGAAAATCTAAAAATTTTTAATTTAATTATTAAGCTAATTTTGTGTATATGACCGAGATCAGCCAAGTAGTCTAATAATATAAATTTTGACCAAAATTTGGATTTTCCCCTTTTCTACTGACCGCCTCCTATATATTAAATCATTATTATAATTTTTAAAGATTTTGATTTTACATTATAATTAACATCAATTCAACCTCATTATTGCATTAATTTGTTATTAATTTAAACTATATAATAAAAAAATTAAAAATATCATTTTATTTAATAAAGATAAAATTAATAATTATTCTTGCTTACTAAAGTCATATTTTTAAATATAAGAATATTAAATAGTCCTAAATAGTCCTAAAAGTCTCAATAAATTTACCAGTAGAAAAGATTTTTATTTTATTTGCATTAGCTTTTACTTTCTAATGATAATTTATTAATTGAATATTTATTAAAAATATCTTTTAACTTAAGCAGAAATCTAGAATTTTAATTTTTGAAACATAGGATACAGTCCTAAAAACTGGATTTCACCTTGATAATCCTATGAAAATTATCAATTTCAAAATTCATATTTCTTTTAAAAGTTATTTATAAAGTTTATTATAACTAGAGTTCCTCAAAATCGAATTGAATCAAATAATTAAGCAATTTGAATTTGATTTGATTTTTTTAAATCAAATCAAATCAAATCAAATTGAACTCAAATATTTGATCGAATCAATTTGAATCAATTTGAATTTGATCGAAT